TAAGTAAAATAATATGATAAAATATGTAGTGAAAGTTAAATGAAAGTAATTATCGTATACCAATAATTTTTTAATCAATATTTTAATAAATTTGATATATAAATTACTCGAGTAATTCTATTTGCAACATAAAATTAAAAAATATTGTTGTTGTTTAACTTGTCACTGCATTAACATTATGCTGTATTCTTTGAAAATTTTTATAATCAGTTTTACTATGTTCATACTCCTCTGAAAAATTGTCTTCATAAGTTATATTCTGTGTCACTTCAATTTCTAATTTATTATCTACAAAATGAGGTTCGCTTCGAGTTCGAAATAAAGAAAACGACAATCGCTTGTTACTAAATGATGAGAAACAATCATTTTCAGATAAACTGAGGCAATGTGGTACTATAGATGATCTATTATTCTTTATATTTATGTAGCTACTATTATTGTTTTTTACAGTTTTACGAGTAAATTCATGTTGAGATTCTTTTAGTTTTTTGTTCAGACAAATATCTCCGCAAGAGTAGAAACTTACAGTATGGTCAGTATCATCAGAGAATAAACTAGACTTAGTCCTTAATGTCATATCTAAATGATCATTCAATGTAAAAGACTTTAGCATTTTTTGATTTAAACTTACTTGAGCATCTATTACCTCCCAGCAACGCTGCATGAGATCTGGTTCTTCAAATAAACGAGACTGGCTTAAAAGTAAACATGCATTCTTTGCTGTTAAACTTGTCTCTAAGTAATTAACACATGCCCTGGCTAGATGAGGGACTATGTATTTTTTAGCAACATAAAGTGTTGCTAGCACTGTATCTGCTTCTAATTGTACTTCATCACAATACATATACCTGTTAAAATGGAAAATCAAACAACCGCTTAATTCACATAATTTGTGTAAATCAAATGATAAATTGATAAAAGTGAAGATTATTTACCTTAGTAATGCAAGAAAGGCAGCTGGCTCTACATCTGGTACTTCTATGTCTCTTTTATTCTCTGCTAGCCCACCATAAAACATAGCATAAAATACAGAACTACCAGTAGCTAAAACATACTTGTGTGCTGGTATAGTCTGGGTTTGGCCTATTAATAGTACAAAATATTATTCAATTTTATATGATGATAATATTTTGAAATGAATAGTTATTATTAATTACCTGGACTGCCTACAATAAATATAATATCAGCCATCAAATGATTATTAAACATGGCAGCATTCCGTTCACGTACACTTGATTTTGTTGCTTGCCAATTAGGATCTAATGTACAGTCTTCAGGTGATGATAAATGTAATTGAGTTATGGGTGACGATAAGGAAGACAAAGGTGATGCAGGAGCACTAAGAGGTTGGTTTATTGTTCCCTCACGTTGAAGTACAATGGAAGAAGAAAGTGGGCTTACTGTTGGTGGTGAATCGGATACAGTAATTGGTGACTCCGCTAAAACATAAATAATGTCAAAACATTGTATTTTGTGATGCATTTCTTTTGTGTAGTCATTGCTTTGAAATGATTCGAACTATCAAAAATTGTTTGTGTCATTATGTATTTATAACCATATTCATTGTAGTTCAGAAATTTATAAATATACTTTCGCTTAAAACAAAGTGAAAATTGCTTTAGGAACAAGAAAAAAAACCTTTTTTGCAGTACATTTGTTATTATTATGACTTGCAGTTTATATTGAAAGAGAAACATATGCATACAACATAATAATAATCATAAAAGTAATTAGACAATGTTAGTTACATATTTGAAGTTTATTTTCCACATAAGTATATTAATCATTTTTTATCCATATGAATTATCAATTATAAAGCAAATAAAATGCTGTATTAACTACATAATTGAGAAAAATAGTATGTTTTTCTCTAGGAGGTTACACGAGCTAATACTTTATTGTTATATAGTTGTTCTAATAAGTGCT